AAGTAATGTCCTTTATGGTAATTTATACAGTTAAAATTGATTCTGAATAAATTATCAAGACATTTTCAATTCTATAAAAATTAAATTTTAAAAAATAATATATAAATAAATTTCATTATAATATAATTAATTATAATTAAAAAATAATATTTCCTTATCAATATGTACCCACATGCCACGGCATATGGCACAAAGCAAGCAATTGTGGTCTCTATGCCACATGCCGTGGAGCATGTGGTGTAACATTTTAAGTTTTTTATTAGTAATTATTAGTATTTTCAAAGGTAATTTGGTCAATTTAGATAAATTGTTGATTTAGCGAGGGTTATGGGAGACTAATATGGTTTTTGAATCCTTGAACAGCCTTATAAGAGGGTTAGGTCGATGTTCAAGCGGACCATCGCATGGAAAGAAGTTTAAAATTTTGTAGAACTTTCTATACCATGCACCGCTGCAGGCATGTCAATGCACCACAGTGCTCGTGCAAAATCAACAATTATCAGTTTGCAAAATAGACCGAAAACAGAAGAGAGAAAGAAGAAAAACGAGAGAGCGACGGAGAAGAGCTTGTGGTCTGTTAGGACATGATCCCTAGACTATTTTGGAGGCATTTGGAGCTTGAATCACTGTTGGGTAAGTTGCACATTCCCTCTTCTCCCTCCTTATGCAAAAAATCTGGACATTTGAGGTAATAGGGGTTTTGATTTCGGTTTCCTTAAGTTTAGACCAAATCCGTTAATTTATTTAAGGTCTTGGGGAGTTAAATCAAACCTTTGACCCTAAGTTTATGAGTTTTATGGTGATTAGCAATCTTTGGTAAGGGTTGGATGAACCCTAAGTATAAATTGAAGATTTTGAGACAATGTGAGACATTGGTTATGAATTTGATGTGTTGGGATGTTTAATATGATGGTTAGAGTGTTTGGGAATGGTTAGTGTTGTGAGAAAAGGAAATTGGATATTATAGGCACCTAGAACCTAGTGCATTCGGAGTTAATCAGAGTGATAATTGATAATTATCACTTGATTGTGTAGATTAAGCATTACTCGAGCTTTATCATGCGTATAGAATGTGGAGAGCTAACGTTGAGCCACGGTAACCCTTTTTGTGTGACAAAGGGTTGAGGTAACCATATAGTTTAATGTGTTTATCAATTATTATAACTGTGTAGAAGTAATTACAAATGATAAAGTTGTGGTTTTGAAGAGTTTTGTGCATAATTTGACATTATAAACGATTCTAGCATGAAAAGTTGATTTGTAAAAGGTTATTGATTTTAATTGATATGCATATACTATATATATAAGTTTGTGATATGGAAATGTGATGAAAAGTGGTGGAAATTATGAAAGAGCATGATTATAGGGGTGGGAGTTCACCCAAGATATGTGGGGATAATCGTGTGGATATATGTGAGTGAAAAATTCATATGGTTGGACTGACACCATGGGACATCCGATGCAGCATTATATGTGATTGTTACCATGAGATATCCAGGCAGTCTAGCAATTCCCTAGTACCCGTTAGGGTGCGGTTAGGAGTCAACAACGCCTCTATCACAATTGTGTAAAGAGAGAAAAATCATAATCCATAGGCGGGTTAAATTACCTTTGGCTGGGTATTTCTACCACCAAAAGTGTGCTCGGGTTAACAAGGTTGATCCAGGAGAGCTTATGGTTTCATGTCGGGGAGCATTAGAGGTTTGGTGGTTAGATGATCATGCTAGTGTGAAATTATGTGTTTTGTAGTGAAAAGATACACTTATCTCATAATTATGGTATGCTTGTTATTATTATAGTTTTGATACTTTTTCATAGTTATTTGTGATAATAAACATTTGATGAACTATATTGGTTACTAAGATATTTATTTCACCTCATGATTATATTTTACAGGTGAGGGATCTAGTAAAGGCAAGGGGAAGGAAGGGATATTTGAAGAGTGAAGAGCATCATTGTATAACTCTTTCCTTTCTTCTTTTTAGGTATTGTAATAAATAGTCTATATATATATTGCCAACTTGGAACATGACAATATTTTAGACATCACTTGTATGAATTTATGATAAGTGCGTGTATTTTGGTTCAAGATTGATGTTGTGGATTAAGTGTGTGTGCTTGGCCAAGTTACATCTACGTGTGATATGTATTTCAAGTGTTTTGAGTGCCAAAATGACCAATTGATTTGTGCATTAAATTTTATCCACCCCTTTAAGTTATTGTTAAATGGGGGTTTGGTAGTCATTTTGAGCATAATTTCTTAATTATGTGATGTGAATGAATTCTCATATTGTGTGTGGTCCATTTGAGGTGGTCAAGGTGTCTTTAAGGCTAATGGTAATTGGTATTGTGAATTGGACACCATTGTATATGTTTTGAGGTGAAAACAAACTATTTTGGATTTGGGTGTCCATCTTTTAAACAGATGATTATTTAAGTGTAAAACTGGTGTCATTAGCTAGAGGGTTCAAAGAGCTTTATGTGGACACTCAAATTTTCCAAATTGGACGTCGGATGGCGAAACAGCATGCTCTGGAAGTTTGGAGGGATGTCACGATAATAGGTGCGTGCCGCGGTGTGTGGTTGTTGCGCTGCAGCGCAAGAGGCCTTCAAGGAACTTGTCCTCTATGCCATCTGCCGCAGCGAGTGCGGCTTACGCCGCAGCAAATGGAGTAGAATTTATAGAAGAATGGCATTTTTAGTCTAATTTTAATGTAGTTTGTTGCCCATGCTTCTGTATTTGTTCTAAATTGATTTTTTTTCCATGGTTTGAGCTCAAACAAGATTTTCAAAAGGATTTTCTTAGAATCCTAATGTTTTAAACTAATTATCTTTAAACCATTAGGTTATGATAACTTCTTGATGGGATTTTATTTAATCTTAATTATCACAACGGTATGTGAGTATTGTCCTAATAATATCAAGGCAGACATTACATGTGGCATGAACTGTGGTGCATAGCCTACTTTTTTGTGTGAATAATGAGGTTTTGAGTTACTTTTTAATGTGATTATACTTAGTACTTTCGTTGTGCAATGTTTTATAACTCAATTATGTTATAAAATGGTTTTAAAAATATTTTTACTTGAGATCCCAAACTTTCAAAACAAATGATTTTAATATGAGTAGTAGCTTAGAAGATGATTGTATGGTAATGTCAATGAGAGCATTACATAAATGGGATAATAGTAAATACAAATGGATAAAGTCAGTTCTGACTTACTTTCTCTAGGGATTTAACCAAGCTATGACAACCTATTATGACAAGTAATCTTATAGCATCACAAGTAATCTTAAAGTCAGTTTTGTGCTTTAATGATGTTGCCTTATTTGTTCTTCTTTGTGGTTTCATTTGTTTCCTTGGTGTTGCATCACATATTTGTATACTTCAATGTTCACTATCCTATTTTTAAGTATATTATGAGTTAGTAAGATGAGTATTCATTTATGTGATTTTATATAATTTATTTTAGACAAGCAAATATATCTAGAATGACTAAGGAGGCTAAAATTTGTTTGATTAAAATTAATCATATATTAAAAAGTAGACTTTACAATGTTGATTATAGAATGCAGTGCTATTTTGATTAGCAAAGTAGAACTAAATATCCAAAAAGAAACTAAATATTACTGGTATTAACATTTTATGACAGTTATCTATTAATGTAATGCTACTTCTAATATGTTAATTATATTTTGACCCTTTTTTGTGCATAGTTCTAATTTATCACAAGCCATTAGGTAACAGCATTGGCATTTGAAGATATGATATCTTGGATGCACGAAGGTGGACAAGTAAGTTCAGTCTTGTTAGATGTTTTCTCTACTTTTATGTCTTCATTCCTGTTCTTTAGCATCAGTTTAATTTAATTTTAGTTTGGGATATTTGATGCTACCAACAGTACTAAGAAACGAAGACTCCTAACAAACCCAAGTCCAGCTCTACATGAATGTCTCATTCGGTTAGTTTAAAATTGGAGTTCAAAATGCTAATTTTAGAAATAAAATCATCTCTTACTTTAAAAATGTTAAAAATGTTTCTTTGTTGATGACTTACAGAGGTATTAAACTTTAAAGTATTAAATTTTATATTTTCATTATTCATCTTTTCTTATAGATTTTCACTATCTAAATTTTACATGGGAATACTCAGATTTTATAAAGAGAGATATCCTTACCATTTCTTTCTCCATTGATTGTAATATGTTGCTCTTCATTTTCATTTTCATCCAAGTGGACATTCTCACACATGGGAGAAGTATTTAAATCCAAGAAAATAGTGATGTTGTCTCTATTGTCTTCCTCATTAGCTGAAGCATTTAAATCAAAGGAGAAGGAGTACTTTTTTATGATGAAAAATTGCACATTCTATGCCTCTACATTTTTTTTTCCGTATCTGCTATTTGACTCCCTTTTAAAGGGATTTTTTTTTTAACCAAAATTCACTCACTAGTAATTTTCAACTCTCTCAAGAAAAATGATCAACTTTTTCACTATAAAAGTCTCATATCTTATATGTTAAAGTATGAGAGAGAAATATTAAAAAATAATATTATATTTATTAATTGTACTTCTTACCTTTCCATTTTGAGGGTTACTTTTGAATTTTCATCCACAATTATTTTTTATATTTTTATTATATTTGATATCAATAAGATTGATAAAAATAATTTATAAAAAAATTAAAGAAAATGTATATATAGCAGTATCCAGTTTTCATTCAAAAAAAAAATGAAAATCGAGTGGAGATGAGTGAAGGAACAGGAATAGAACGCTGCGTTCGACACTATACACATACGCTGACGCTATCAGGCTTCATATTCAAGAAATATTGAAAATAATTATACTTATATTATTAAAAATTTTAATCCTTTTCATTAAAATAAAATTTTATCCTTAAAATTTTAATAAAAATAAAAAGGGGGGGGGGAGAGAGAGAGGATCTTGAGATCATTCCCAAACTCGGTGGGGTCTACCTTTGGTCATTTATTCTTCTATCCAGCTCTTCTTTAGACACGATCCGCTTCTGATTCAATTCAGTCCCGAGCAGTCTGTCTTCTCCGTTCTGATTTCCGACCACTGTTGACCCATCGTCAATGGGGAATTGCAGTGGCGTAGCCTCCGGGCATAGCCAACCGGACCACTCTAACGCCACTCACTCCGGCCTCCCTCCGCACCAACGTAACAATGGCATCTCCGTCCTTCCTCCTGATTCCAACCCCTCTCGTCCTCCTCCACCACCTAAACCAGCACTCTCTTCTGTTGTCGGACGCGTCCTTGGCCGGCCCATGGAGGATGTGCGTTCCACCTATATCTTCGGCCGTGAACTCGGTCGTGGTCAATTTGGTGTCACCTACCTAGTCACCCACAAAGTAACGAAGGAACAATTCGCCTGTAAATCCATCGCTGCACGCAAACTGATTAACCGCGACGACTTGGAAGACATTTGCCGCGAGGTCCAGATCATGCACCACCTCACCGGTCATCGCAACATTGTGGAGCTTAAGGGAGCTTACGAGGATCGTCACTCTGTTAATTTAATCATGGAGCTTTGTGCTGGCGGGGAGCTGTTCGATCGGATCATAGCCAAAGGGCACTACTCGGAGCGAGCCGCTGCTTATTTATGTCGCCAGATCGTGACGGTTGTGCATGATTGTCACACCATGGGAGTTATACATAGAGATTTGAAGCCTGAGAATTTCTTATTCCTGTGTAAGGAGGAGAGTTCACCTCTTAAGGCCACTGATTTTGGCCTCTCTGTATTTTTCAAGCCAGGTTGCTTCTTTTGATCTTGCGCTTTCCATTCATTTTAGGATATTTGTGATGATTCTGAACTTACTGGTTAAATTTTGAGTATAGGAGATGCATTTAAAGATCTTGTTGGGAGTGCATATTACGTTGCTCCTGAGGTGCTGCGTAGAAGCTACGGACCTGAAGTAGATATTTGGAGTGCCGGGGTTATATTATACATTCTTCTCTGTGGTGTCCCACCCTTCTGGGCAGGTGAAGCTCCTTCCTTCCCAAACTATGAAATGAACTGAAATCTATTTTTTCTGCATATCGTATGGCTCGATGCCTAGATGTAAATTTAGAATGTTAATTGTTTTCAAATAGGTTACTATATTTAGACTTTTTGGTCGATTATGAGCTTTAATTTATTTCAGAGAGTTTCATTGGGGAGATTTGCTTTTCTTTTAGCTTTATTTGATATAATACATTGAGCAGACAGAGTTTGTGTAAATTTGATGTCTCACTTTCGTCTTATCTTCTGTATGAAGAAAATGAACAGGATATCTTCAATTCAATTCTTCGCGGGCATATTGATTTTGCGTCAGATCCTTGGCCTTCCATTTCAAGTAGTGCCAAAGACCTCATCAAGAAGATGCTACAAGCTAATCCAAAAGAAAGGTTTTCAGCAGTTGAAGTCCTTAGTAAGTGGCTTTGCATTATTTCTAGTTTATTTTAGTCATTACTGTTGAGGGGTGAGCATTGTTTACCGCATAAATCTCTATGTATATTAGATAGATTCTGGCTTCTAGTAGGAAAATAGAGTGACACAGTAATTGACTTTGAGATAACAGGACAAGGGATTGCCATATCTCATTATTGATGATGATGATGATCATAATAACTTCATATCTTTTCACAGTAACTTGAAATTTCTCCCTGACTGATGTATAACTTGCTCTTCTATTGTCCCTTACCACAACCTCATAATATCCTTGTGCTTTTGGTATATTTACTTTTAAGTTAAGAGTCATATGCTTGAGTTCCTTTGTGATTGATGTCATAATATGAAAATAACTGTCACCTTATCTCCCTTGGCTGGTCGTTTTATTGGCAAGGATTCCATGTGACTTTATTTGCAATGTGTTGGCTAGTCATCTAGCTTGAGGAACATAATACGTCATCTACATATATGCCTGTGCTTGTCCTGTCCTCCTCTTCATTATCATTGGTGTATCTTAAGATCATTTGTGCTATAAATGGCATGATCCTTCTTTAAATCAACCAGTGATTATAAGATTCCCTGCATATTATATTTCAGATCATCCTTGGATGAGAGAAGATGGGGATGCATCTGATAAGCCTCTTGATATTGCAGTTCTATCCAGAATGAAACAATTCCAGGCAATGAACAAGCTGAAGAAAGTAGCTCTGAAGGCAAGTTATCATTTGTCATCGTTTTTGTTGTAGTGAAAATCATCATCATTACCAAGATTTTAGCATAATATCTGAAATTACTGTTAGATCACAAGCCTTGAAGTCAATGAACAGTATACGTTGATAGGAAGGCTATGAAAAAGCAGAAAGTAACTGAACTAGATCAAGGGCTTAAGTGCACTTTGTTGTGCTTAAATGGAAGATGGTTTGCTTGACAGAAAACTTGGTTCCACATTTGCCAAACCCATAGAAGATGGACAATTTAACTGTTATGAAGGGCTTTGGCTTCAACTTTGGAATCTCTATCCTTATTAAACTTATGTATGATGATTCTTCTCTTCTATTCAGGTAATTGCTGAAAATCTGTCTCAGGAAGAAATTATTGGCTTAAAGGAAATGTTTAAATCCATGGACACAGATAACAGTGGAACAATCACTTATGATGAGTTAAAAGCTGGTCTCCACAAACTGGGTAGTAAACTTTCTGAGTCTGAAATAAGGCAGCTGATGGAAGCGGTAAGATTTCATTTATTTTCTCCCTTTGCATTGTGGTGCTTCCAGAAGATCTGATCTCCATCATTATGTATTTGGGAAGAATGTTTTATTGGAGGTTTAGGTCTTACCCTATTTCTGAAGCTTGACCTGAAGCAAGAATATATCAGTTCATTCATGTAGCTAATTGCAAAATGAACATTTCGATCTGAAACTGCTGTGATGTGATCTGACAACTTATACCCACTATTGATCTGCTGTAGCATTCGGACTATTTTACTGTTATGCTCATTACATGTTGATAGTTGATTATTAGTTTCCCTAAATATTTTACTCCATATGTTTTTTTGAACTTGAATTATTTTGTTAACTTGGATAACTTGTTGACATTTGAACTTTTGATCTTAGTCATTCATTTGGAGCTATATAATATCATTCATGGCTAAATCACTTGTTCTTGCTTCCCACATCTAATCTCTTCTGTCTATTGTCAAGAAACTTGCAGTTAAATTCACACCCAGCAATTTTTATCCCCTGTCTTGTTGTCATCTTCAGTATCCAAACATAGTCTAGCGATTGTATGGACATAATGCTATGTGCATCTTGTGCTGCCATTATAGAGACACTTCAATTTCCTATGATATTGTATGATCTTATAATAAAACAAAGTAGAATGGATGTAAATATTAATCTTTAGCACTACTTGATATTGCGGTTATTAGTTTGCTTGCTTTTTTGTGATGGCTTTTTAATACGTCAATATAACATAATTTTCTGGTTTTCAGGCTGATGTAGATGGAAATGGAGCCATTGATTATATTGAGTTTATATCAGCAACCATGCATATGAATAGAATGGAAAGAGAGGACCATCTATACAAAGCCTTTGAATATTTTGACAAGGACAAGAGCGGGTGATCTAATATTTTCTTCATAATTTGCATTTTACCCTGTATCACCTTACTGGATTTTGAATGACTTGTTGGTTCTCTTTTTCCTGGCTTCTGTAACAACAGGTATATCACGAAGGAAGAATTGGAATCTGCCCTTAGGAAGTATAATATGGGTGATGAGAAAACTTTAAAGGAGATCATTGCTGAAGTTGACTCAGACAATGTATGCTGTTTTTTCCCTTTCATTTCTTTGCTTACATTTATTCTTACATACCTGGGCAATGATTGACCATAACTCAGTTCTTGAAATTGCAGCAATGATGGGGTAGCTTATAACCTGTGAAGATATTTGATGTTGCCCTTTAATACTGTGTCTATCACTTTTCCAATCACACAAACGTATTGTCTCTTATCCAAGAAAAATGAATAAATAATGACCAAAATAAATAAAGAAAAGTGCTGCTGTTGAAAATAACAAATTTTGGAGAATAAACAGACTAGGTACATGAATATACTAATGGATATGGGTATTGTGAGGGTTAAGTGTCTCATGTTCTCATTGGACATGCTTTTTTCTTGAGGCCAGTGTTTTAATTGGACACTTTTAATATTATAATTGAGGTCATAGAACTGTGAACTTCATTCTAGGTAATAGTGGTGGAAGGAAATTAAGCAGAGCTGAATTCTTTAATTCTGCAAGCATTCCAGAAATAGATTAATGTTGATGTCTTTTAGCCCTCTGGCTATATTATCTAGTGGGGTGTGGCATTCTTTCGTTCACATTGGTGACTGTCATTCATATTTTGTTAAATTTTAGACGTTCATATAGGAAAAGTTAGGTACATTGATGTATTTGTATTCTCTAATATTTACTTGTCTGTTATGGCAAATGAATTTGTAAAAGAAGACGTGTGTAAATGGTATTTTATAAAAACATATATAAAAGATAATGCTTTATGGATGTCATATCTCTATAGTTTTTTAAGGGCACTCTGTTTCACCTAAATTGGCGGCGTCCTCTGCCCCTTGATATTGCATGGCGCAAGATGCTTTGGATATCAATATGTCAAACACAACTACTTCAGTTGTCTCCTAATTTAAATGAACAAAATCTAGTTTTTGTTATTCATTACTATTTTCGATAACACATTGGCATTGGGCAATCCGTGCAGTTGATCCTACCTTGTGGGATATTGCTGCTTCTTCTTGTTGTATTACTATTCCTGACGGCTTATCAATATATAGTGACAATAGATAATATTTTTTTAAAATTTATTTTTGTATTATCTATCTATTATATATATGTTTACATGTTGAATAGGGATGAATAGTAAAAAATGCCTTAGGGAATAGGGATGAATAGTACAAAATTGGATTTTTTTCTGCATGTGTACCTATAAAAGGAAAATAACTACCAGTGGCATGTTGACGCGACGGCACCAACACCTCCCAAATTGAAGGAAGGTTTCAGGTTCGATCTCATGCAAATGTGAGTGTGGCTGTGTTTCCTAGTTGTTCCAAGTCCCAACAAGAAATGGAAAATAACTGGCACTATTATAGCAACAATGGTTTTGAGTCCCCTTTATTTTTCGGTCTATATTTGATGTTCATATATATATTTATATTTTTGTTGAAAGTTTACATACAAATTATTCTATTTTTGAATACAACACATGATGTTGATTGTGTACTTAACAACCCAATATTCCTGTGAAATTATCTTTCTTCAAGGCTGCTAATTCTCAGTTTTCTCACAGGATGGAAAAATTAACTACGATGAATTCGTAGCCATGATGAGGAAAGGCAACCCGGACTTCGTGAACAGACGTCGCTAATAAACAGGGATTCTTCATTTCCTTATCATCATCTTTCCTCCATTTCTCAATTATAACTATTGATATCACTGCATTAAATGGATATGTTTTAGTCATAGATTTAATGAGTGGTTATGATTTGGGAAATGGAGGGAAAGTGATCATAAAGAAACGGAAAGATTCCATGTCCATTTTATCGCAGAATTTAACACGGTATTAATGTGCACACCATAGCTTGCGGTTCTTCTTATGGGACCATTTTATATATATATATATATATATATATTAAGTGCTCACCTACAAGGGTGGCTGAGTAAACGATGGTTGTGTACAAATTTGAGAAGTAGATCAGTTCTTCTTTCCAGAGTTTAAAGATTAGGCGAAAGATTATGCCTTCAAGTCTGTCCTCGTAATTTACATTTTGGTTATTTCTTCACCAGCCAACCGTCAATCATGATTGCTCTTTTAAATTAGGGAGAATTTCAATTTAGGATCATGTGTGTGAAATTATTACAAATCAGACCCAATAAATCTTTAAAATTTACTTGAGGATCAAGGCACTAAATTGAAAATAAATTTCACAGGAAAATTATTGTAATATCTTTTGTTTGTGGTGAACAACAAATATCAGGCATGTTAGAGACGTTGAGTTTCAATTGATTATAAAAAAGTCTCGAACTTCCTTACCACAGTTTACTTAAATATAAAAAGATATAAGGCTTTGGTAGAATAAGTATTTGATTTTTATTAAAATATGATAAGATTATAAATCTAAAACTAAAACACTAATTGATAACAGTTTACTTTATTTTTTTTTTTTGGTTTCTTCTTTTATTTATAGTATTAGAGTAACAGTAACCTCTTTTTTGAAACCTAGCACGTTTTGCTGAAGAATTAGGAATCTCGCGAAGCTCATGGTACAGTCTTTATTTCATATTCTCCTTTTTTATAACTAGCCCATTTCACCGAGATACTTGAGCATAGAATTTGGCGTTATTTAAAATCATGTATTTCGTGCCAATGGTTTAATACTTACAGTTGACGGGATTTCGACGTGTTTACTTATTGTGGCCTTTATTGAGTCTTAGGGCCAGTCCTTTTTGTTTATATTAGGCTTGACACTTCAATTACTCAGCTCAACTAGTCATGTGATCTATTTGAGCAATGTTTCATATTTAACCCAAATAATATCCCCCTGTGTCAATGGCTGATAACGTAAGCCATGTGGCACGTTTGAAAAAACTAAAATGTCGCTTCATTTCTAAGTGTCCTTTGTTGATATAAATTCATTTTTTTTTCTGGTCACTTCTCTTGCCCTTTCTATTGTTTCTTAAACTTCAAGTATTCACTCTTCTACATCCCTCTTACCTTAGCTCTCAAATGACTTCTTCCACTTCTGCCGCTTCTTCTATTACCGCTCCATCTTCCACCTCTGTTGGGAGTCTGCCTGATTCTCTGGAGACTATTCGAAATCTCGTTACCCCACTCGGCAGGTTTGTGATGGTACATATTTAGTGGTTTGAAAATCCTTTTTTCCTCTAGATTGGTTCCTCATTTTAATAGTTGTTCATTTTCTTTGCAGGAGGATTCTTCATTCCACGAATCGGTGGCTTTCTAGTAAGTTTTTTACTTCTCATGTTTAGCCCTTTTGTTTTATTGGAGAAGTACACTAACTGTGCTTTGTTTTTCTCCAATACTTCTCCTTGGAGCTTTCAAATCTCCAATAAAAGTGACGTCGAGTACTTGACCATCTCTCCCGACCTGTTCAAAGTTACAGCCCCTACTCAACCAAATCCATGGCTACTGACTACCATTCATAATTTGGTCTTAGCTCGGACGACTTGGCCATTCCCCGAGTCATCCTGTAGAAAACTCAGAAACTAGCCTCGGTCTCCTCATGCTTGGGTCAACTGGGTGAGGTGGTTGAAGTCAGAGTATGCACCTTAATAGAAGGAGATGGGTCTTTACAACCTGATTCAACTATCCCTGCTTGATGTTGATGTCCCAGTCGAGCTTTTGACTGCCCTCTTAAGCTTCTGGGCTTCAGGCTACAACGCCTTCATCTTTGAGCTCAGCCCTATGTCCCTCATGTTATGGGACATTTTCATGTTCTTAGAGCTACCCATCACCGGGGAGGAGAACTTCTGTGCGAGCCTCGACAAGCATGACTCCTACATCGCCCTCCTAGCCGACTTAGAGAGCAAGATCAGGAATGTGGGCTCCTACACAAAGATTATGGAGTTATTCTTCGAGAAGTCAGTCACTAAACTTATCATTGCCACAGAGCACCTGATCTTCATATAGATCCTACTGAGTCAATAGATCCTGGCCCCAAGGGGGGGAAGCCCATGCAGCTGCATTTGAGGATTGCCCAGTCCCTGCTCTGTAGCATTCAAATAGCCATGGGAACAATGTTTCTGTGCCGCCTCTATGACAGCATGAAGGAGTCATTGACGAAGAAACCTTTCAGCAGCTTCTCTAGACTCGTCTAGTTTTTGAAGTTATGGACAACGGCCTACTTTTCACTTCTTCAGTAAGAGCCTTTCCTAGATGATTCTCGTGCTAACCAACCCTTCACCTATCTCCTTGGTAGTCATCCGCTAATCGACTCAAAGAACTTCTTCGAGTTCCTTAGTCAGCAGAGCTGGTCCTTGGGGAGGACCTTAAAGGCCTTCAATATTTCGAACCACCGCCTCTCCACCTAGTACAAGCACATGGTGGACTGGAAGAACAAGCCCGCCAAGATATTTAGGGATGAGGTTTTCCTCTTGGCCACTACTCCTAAGAAGATATGGCTACCATACTCTAGCTCTTCCTCCAAGTCTCTGAGGGTCTACTTGGAATCATATCATCCTCAACTGGTGGCAGGCCAGTTTGGATTGAGTCAGTACATCCCTGGGACCTATCCCCCAAATCAATGTGGAGCTGCTGGATAGGGAGGTTATCGACCAGATAGCCGTTCCACGCATCGCTCAGAGACAGTGCAAGGTAGTACTTGTAGATAGAGATGCCTACCTCTACTTCAATAAATAGTGGCCCTAGCGCTTTAAGCGCAATAAAGAGCCATACTAGTAAGTATCACCTTTCGTGTTTATCTTAGTTTTCTTTCTTTTACCTCATATCCAAGTCTAATCCTGTTTTTATTTTTGTAGGCCGTGATTGAACGTAATCTCACATGTTGATGACATTCCTGAGGAAAAACATTGATGCCCCATTGCTTTTAAGACCCAGATGGCCCTCTCGCCGAGGACCGTGGTCTAAGGGATAAAGCAAGATAATGCCTTATCCTAAGTCTTAGCCCCCTCAGTCCCTAGGAAGCCTGGGGCTAAGAAGATCCCCTCAAGTCGTCTAGATAAATGAGATGGTTCTGATAAGAGGAAGCGAGCTCCATCTCCTTCGCCCGATGCTAAGAGAAGGAAGAAGACAACGCCTCCTCCCCTCGACCAACCTTCCTCTACTCCGCTCCTAACCAGCCCCACTCCCCAGAAGGGTAAGCGCACGCACAAACACCAAAGGATGATGATCCTATTAGCAAATTTGCGACGATAGGGTGAGTCCTTTTCAACATGGGGAGGAGACCCAGCTCCCAAATTCCTGAGTAGTCACTTCTCCCACCTCTGCCAATCCTGAGCCAATACCCATGGATCCAACTGAAATTGCTCAGGAGGTGGCCCAAGAGGTGACGGAGCATACTGAAGATCTGGGGGTTGCTATGTCTGTTGCAAGTCACAGGTGGTGCTGTTAATTCGGAAGACATCGAGGCTATAATTGAGCAGGGAGGGGCTTTTGCTGTAGCCTCGAGTGGAGAGTTGGAGCTTGAAGTCCAAGGTCTTACTTCCACCGAAGGCCCCAGGATGGTCTCCCCCATCAATTCGATCCCACCCCCTAACTAATTAAGCGCTCAAGAAGTTGGGGACTCTGAGAGGTCCTTAGAGGGATTCTAGGCAGCGACTATGAATAATGCCCTAGTTGCCTTGGTCTCCAGTTAAAGCCTCTCGATGCGGGGTCAAACTGATTCCTCCACTCTCACGGGCCGTGTAGAGGAGGCCTTGCGATTAGCAACGCGATCTGCGCATACTCCTCCCCCTTCTACAAGTAAAGACAAAGCACTTGTGGACCCAATTCAGGTATTGGCTTGTTCTGCTCTTCCCTTCTAGTCTTTCTAATTCCTTTTTTATCTCTCATTACTGACCTCACTTTGTTTTCTTCGGTTGGCTTTATTCGAGGTGGTACCCTCTGATGCCCTTCTAGCCCACATCTGTGGCCCTGAAATGGATGTAGTGTAGGATGCTTGGAGGGTCATGTAGTTCCAACTTAGCCGAGATCTACTCCTCATTCCTGAACAGAATTATAAGGAGATGATTTGGGCTCTCGAGGCTATAGAGAAGGTAGTCTCCATGTCTGAGTTAGTGCTCCTTCAAGCTCAAGTCTCGGCATGTTATAGCATCATCAGCCAGTGCTATAAAGAACTCCCCCTCCTATCAAAATATTTAAAAAACAATTGGTCAGTGAGGGACAAGTATCTTGCCACCAAGACCCAAATGATTGCTGCCACTAATCGGTCTAAAAGATTGCCCCTCGCATAGATCACCTCCAGGCACTACGGGCTAAGGTGGTGGACTTGAGGCGCCAGCTAGCAGCAGCTGAAGAGGAGTTGGTGCAAGCTGAAGCTGAAGACGATCTAGCTGAGTCTAAACTAGAGACCGCAACTAAGGCTCTGGATGAGGCACAGGCCATTTCAGATGAAAAGCTTCATTCCATGCTTGAGTTTGAAATGGCCCTTACTCGCTATTAACCCTTTCTGAAGAATTAGACTCAGCTTTGGCGACATGAGAGACCATATGTAGCCTTTGTAAACAATATATAAATGTATCTTATTTTTTTTCATTGTTTATTCTTTATTCTTTATTCCAGTACTCTACACCCTTTGTAACACGATTCAAATGTAATAAAGGTAAATAATTTTCTATTATTGTGCATCTTTCGTATGCCTTGAGGCCATTCTAGACCTCGAGTCCTTTATTGCTTTTTTACTATAATGACGGCCAATACTTCTTCAAATATTTTTCATTTATGGCTTGTTTATGCAGAATCCCATCGATGCTAGCTAACACATAAGTACTCCCTTTAAGTACTTCATTTACCTTGAACAGTCCTTCCTAGTTAGGTAAAAACTTACCAAGCATCCAATCTTTAGAACTAAGTGGTAACACAAGTTTCCACACGAGCTTGTCTACCTAAAAGTGTTTCCTTCTTATTCGTTTATTATATATCCTTGAAATCTCTTTCTTTTAGGCAATCATATGATCTAGCACTTGTAAACAAATTTCATCTAACTGAATTAACTCGTTCATCATAGCCTTGTTGTAGTCATCAAACGGTCTTCCCAGACTGCTTGCAACGCGTAACAAAGGGACTACTATTTTTATAGGCAAAACGGCCTCGTGCTTATATGTTAACACATACGGGCTCGTGCTCGTAGCCTCCCTCTTAGATGTATGTGACACTCATAGTGTCTCAAGCAATCGTACGTGCCATTCTCTTTGATTGTCTTCTTTAGAATTTCGAGGATAATCTTATTGGAAGCTTCAGCCTGTCCATTTGCTTGAAGATAATATGGCGAGGATGTCAATAATTTAACCCCACTTTTCTTGGTGAAAGCTTTAAAGTCACTTCCAATGAACATTATCCCTTGGTCTGTTGTAATCGTTTGAGGAATCCCAAATTGAAACATGATTTATTCACGCATGAAGTTAATGATGTCATCCTACTCCACTTTCTTCATAGGAATGGCCTCTACCCACTTAGTGAAATAATCTATGGCCACTAAGATGAATGAGTGGCCCTTGGATTAGGCCGGATAGATCTTTCCTATTACATCCATAGCCCATCCTCGGAAAGGCTATGGCTTGATAATTGGATGCATGTCTAATGCTAGAACTTATTGTGTTGGCCCGTGAGTCTGGCACTTCTTACACCTTCTAGCATATTCAATGCAATCTCTCATCATTGATGGCCAATAATATCCATGCCTATGCACCAACCATTGCATCTTTGGCCCTGACTGATGGGCCCCACATACTCCCTCATGCATCTATCTTAAAACCTCCATATAATCAGTGAAGGTTAAACATTAAGTAATAACCCGTCGGGGCCTTCCCCGAATAATTCATCTCCAATTAAAATGAAGTGTTGAGCGCATATGCTCGTTTTGTAAGGGTACCATTGATTGGGATCTTGTAGATAACTCTTGAAATCACCTCGCTAATCCTGAGTTAACTCTTACAAGACCGCGCTGCATTATACTGTCAAACACACTGAGCGACCGAGGGATGTTCTTTTCATTCCACCACAATTACCTTTCTGGTGAGTTCAAGTGATAGCCTTGGCCCTAATACTACTTGAGCTAGTTCATTGGCCTCCCAGTTTTGAGCTCAGAGAACGTGAGTTAACATTATTGTCTTGAACTCTTTTAGAATCTAAGAAGCCCTACCATAATACATTACTAGAGTAGGGCTCGTGCATACACTCGCCAGTTAATTGTTTGATGACTAACTGAGAATCCCCTTCTATGACCACATCACGAGCTTTCATTTCTTAAAGAATCTCGAGCCCTGTGAGTAGTGCTTCATATTTTGCCTGATTGTTAGTACACTCGAAATTTAATTGAAGAGATAATATCATTTTTATCTTAGTAGGAGAGGTTATTACTATCCTAGCCCCAGATGCTTGTTCAATACTAGATCCACCAAACTTAAGCACCTAGAGCCCCGAATCTACTGAGAACACAGGTAGTTCTTGCTCCTCTTCGAGGAACTCAGCTGAGGGGTGATCAGCTAAGAAATCTGTTAATGCTTGGCCCTTTACTAATTTTTTTAAGGCAAAAATATTAATGAGAATTCTACCAAGGCCAAGCTTCACTTCCTCATATGGCTCGTCATGATTAGCTGATTAAGCATGTATTTAATTAAATCAAAATGGAAAACCACATACACACCTGCATTTATTATATAATGTCTTAACTTAGTACAAGCATAATATAGTGCCAAATACGCTATTTCCACAGCTAAGGATTTGGTTTTTGTAGGAGTTAAATACGTACTTAAATAATAGACCGCTTGCTTATATCCCCCATCAACATTTTGGACTAATATACAATCTATGGACGTGGCGGTATAAGCTAAATATAATAAAAATGGGTTGTTCTCCTCGAGGCTGTTAAGACTAAAGGCTTTGTCAAGTGTTCTTTAATCTTGTCGAAGGCCACCTGATGATGTCTGGTCCAAGTGAATTCCTCGGCGTCTTTAAGTTTCAGGAGCTCGAAAAACTCTTTCGTCTTCCCTACAAGGTTCGAGATGAAATGCTTGAGATAATTGACTTGTCCCAGGAACCTTTGAAGTTCTTTCTTGTTGCTTGGTGCCTTTGCCTCTAAGATAACCCGTGCTTTACTTCGATCTACTTTAATCCCCTTTCTGTGGACCAGGAATCCAAGGAAATTACCTACGATTACACTAAAAGTACACTTAAGTGGGTTTAATTTAAAGCCGACTTCCCTCATTTGGAGAAAACTCATCCTCAAATGCTCAATACATCATTATAAATTTTAAAAAATAAAAAAGAAATTAAATCTAGACTCCAGATCTGCACCACCTTCTGTGGAAGTGTAAAGGAGGCTTCCCTCCTACTCCCCAATTGATGAAACTATTCTGGCTCTAGTCGGCTCCAATAGAAATTTCTCCAATTCACAGCATCATATTAAGAATTTGTCACACGTCTACCACGATGATTTCAAGTACGACCTTCGAGCAATTTATGGATGCTTCTCTTTGATGAATACGATTCTACTATTGTGGTTCAAGTAGAGTTGGGAATTTGGATGAAACGAGTCTATTTGGGCTTGGCCCGAATAAGTCAGACTCGAATAGGCCCGAACCCGAACAAGGCCGACTCCCTGAAAAGCCTAAATAACCAAGTTTAGCCCGAATTTTTTCAGTCTTCGGATGGCCTATATATCCAAATGTTATTTTTAAAATTATATTTAATTAATTATTTTACTTTAAAATTAATTATTTTATTTATAAAAAATATAAATATTTTTTCAATACTCAAACGGTGCATGAGACTTAAATATATAATATTTTAATATAAAATAATTTAAAATTAAATAATTAATTAATATTATTATTTTTATATTTTTTAAATAATTTTTTATTCAAATGTTCAAGTCAAGTTCCAATTCAATTGCATTTCTGAAGCATGTCAGAGATGGGCTACAGGACCGAGTAGGGCATTCTGTGGGTGTCATTGGACTTGGAGGTGTAATGCCATTGATCCCAGAAACAAAGGTGGCAATGATGATGGGTGGTTTTGTAGTGGTTGAAAAAAATTGATTCCTGAGTGTAATTGACTGTAAACGAGGGTGAGGAGGATGGTGGATGATGGTGAAGAGTCATGTGAAAGCTAGAAGCCAGGCGAATGGAGCTTCTTTGCTTTTTGGAGGCGAGAGTGAGAAATCCTACAGTGATAATTCAAATTTTGTTTTTTTTATATTTAATTTCTCCAATAGTACTTAAATGCCATTTTCCCTGGATGAATAAAAAAAAAAATGGATGATTTAAATTAATAAACTAGCTAAAAATGAGTTGTAGAATTATTTTTGAAAAAACTAGCTACTGTGTAGTGTTGCTGAAAAAACCGCTGTGAACAGGTGCATCTATCTTAATTAGCAAAAAATGTCACCTTTATCTACGCTGTTACTGATTTAAAATTTTTTTTATTAGATTAAATAATTATTTTATTATAATTTATTTAATTACTAATTTTAATTATATATCTATTTGTTAAAAAAATAAATTAAGAGAGGTGGCATTTTTAAATTTGCAAACGCCACTCCCTCTTTTTTCGTTAATTAATTTTTTATAAGATAAAGTATTATTTTATTATAATTTATTTAATTATTATTAATTCTTAATATATATCATTATTTAATAACTAAAAAAGTAGAGACTTGCACTTTTCTGATCTTGGAAACGTCATATCTCTTCTCTTGCTATTGATTTAATATTTTTTATTAATTAAATAATTCTTTTATTTATTATAATTTATTTAATTAATAATTTTAATTAATACATTATATTATTTAATAAATAAAAGCAAAGAAAGGTGGTGTTTGCTGAGCCTAAAAATACCACTTTTATACTTTGTTATTAATTTAATATTTTGTCCTATTAAATATTATTTAATTATAATGTATTTAATTAATATTTAATTAATATACAATAATATTTAATAAATACATGAAGAGAGGTTGAAAACGCCACCTCTCTTCTTTTTTATACTCCCTCTTTTTTCGTTACTTAATTAATTTTTTATAAGATAAAGTATTATTTTATTATAATTTATTTAATTATTATTAATTCTTAATATATATCATTATTTAATAACTAAAAAAGTAGAGACTTGCACTTTTCTGATCTTGGAAACGTCATATCTCTTCTCTGCTATTGATTTAATATTTTTTATTAAATTAAATAATTATTTATTATAATTATTTAATTAATAATTTTAATTAATACATTATATTATTAATAAAATAAAAGCAAAGAAATGGTGTTTGCTGAGCCTAAAAATACCACTTTTATACTTTGTTATTAATTTAATATTTTGTCCTATTTAAATATTATTTAATATAATGTATTTAATTAATATTATAATTAATGTACAATAATATTTAATAAATACATGAAGAGAGTCTTGAAAACGCCACCTCTCTTCTTTTTTATTATTTAAGTATTTTTCCAAAATAAAATATTATTTTATTATATTCATTTAATTAATACTAATAATTAATATATATTATTATTTAATAATTAAAAAGTATAGAAGTGGCGTTTTGAGGTTGAAAATGCCACCTCTCTATCCTATTATTAATTTATTATTTTATTTTATTAGATTAAATAATTATTTTATTAT